ATTATTCATTAAATTGGATTATTATCAAATTGGATTATTATTATCAAATTGGATTATTATTCATCACCATGTTTTTAATTTAGGATAATTTTTTTATCAAATTGGTGGATTATTCATTAAATTGGATTATTATCAAATTGGATTATTATTATCAAATTGGATTATTATTCATCACCATGTTTTATATTAGGATTTTTTTTTATCAAATTGGATTATTATTCATTAAATTGAATTATTATCAAATTGGATTATTATTCATTAATATTAGGTTTTATTATTCCATATTATTTGTATAATTACTTAACTTTTTACAATCATTTTCTTTACTTTGTATTTAATTCTTCTGTAGAATAACTTTATTATTTAGGTTCTCTTATTTTTATCAAAAAATAATTGTCTAATTTTAATGAAAAATAAATATAGGTACATTTAAGATGTCAAGTAAACGTGATCCAGCTTGGGAACATGGAGACCCAATAGACGGAAACAAACATGGCACAATTTGCAAATATTGTGGTCGGGTAATGAAGAGTGGCGGAGTGACACGACTGAAGTATCATCTTAGTGGATTAGATCCATCAAAAAATGTCCAACGATGCGATAATGTCCCCCCAGAAGTGAAGGCATTCATCAGCACATTATTAAAAAATAAAAAACAGCAGAAGGAAAAGATGACACAAGGAATGGAAAATATTCGAGCTGAGCTAACGGGGAGAAGTCTATAGCCAAGCGGTTGACAGTGATGATGATGACGATGAGGACGAATGTGATGATGACATGGGACCTGAAGAACGACGCAGTTTGAAACAAGCATTACGTGCCTCCAAACAGTCAGCATGGGAAAGAGAACACCTTCATAAAATTCCTAATAGGGGACAAGGTTCCGGGACAAGTGGTGGTGCACAAAATGAGACGGGGAGGCAGTCTTAGAAAATCACAACCAACACCACCAATAGCCCCAAGTTTATATAAAGTCATCCAACGCACGTCAAAAGAGTGTTTGGAGTTATTTCAAGGGAGGTAATGTGAAGGAGGGAATGGGGCGTCTAATTAGCAAGTTCTTTATCTATGAAAATGTCCCTGCTGCGAAGGCTTCATCACATCATTTTCAAAAATATGGTAGTGGGATGTCAACAGGCCGGTGTTGGAGTACAACATCCCACTCCCTATGAGATAAGAAACAAATATTTGGATATGGAGTATAAAGACATTGGCGAGTATGTTAAACAAGTTGAGGTCAAAGTGGGAAACTAATGGTTGCACAATCATGTGTGACGGATGGACCGGCCCGACCAGATTATCTATCATCAAACTTCATGGTATATTCCAAGGGCAAGACAATTTTTTTTGAAGTCTGTTGATGCTTCAGACCATATAAAGAATTACAAATATATTTACAAATTATTGAGGGATGTAATCATGGAGGTGGGAGAGCATAATGTTGTCCAAGTCGTGACCGACAACGGTTCTGCATTTGTCAAAGCTGGAAAAAAGTTAAATGAAGCATCATAATGTGTTTTTGGACATCATGTGCAGCATATTGTATTGATCTTATGTTTGAGGCAATGGGGAAGAGAGAGAATGTTGCTACTGTGGTCAAAAGAGCTAGAACGATCACTAATTATATTTACAATCACGGTTGGTTGTTGGCAAAGATGCGTGAATTTTGCAGAGGAGAAATTATTCGTCCAGCTACCACTCGATTCGCCACCAACTATATTGCATTAAACAGCCTACTCAAGAAGAAAGCAGGGTTGAAGCAACTATTCACCAGTGATGATTGGGCCAACCACAATTTTAGCCGCTCAAATACAGGTCGTTTGGTGGAAAGTATAGTGCTTGATCATGCTTTTTGGAGTCAAACAGAACATGTGTGTTAAGTGTTTGAACCTCTTTACAAAGTTTTACGGATCGTTGACACAGAAGTGTATCCTACTATGGGGGCTGTATATGAGTTGATGCGTGTAGTGAAGGATGAATTGGAAAGAAAACATGGTGCAAGGTGGGTCGTAAAAATAATTGAAGACTGATGGTATAAAACATTATACCACGATTTGCATGCAGCAGGTATAAATTATGTCATAATTTGCAATTCATTTCTTTAGTTGCATAAGTATTATTTATCTTATTAGAGTATGTGTTTCTTTGAACAGCATATTATTTGAATCCCCGATACCAATACAGACCCGGTGTTGGAGATGATGGTACCCTTATACGTGCTGTACATAATGTATACTCTAAATTAGACCCTGCATCACCAGCAGTTGGCCAATTTGGAAATGAGGTACACAATTACTTAAATTATAATAATTACTTTGTTGGATTAAACTAACACAATTTATTGTATTCAGCTAACATGGTTTAAAGATGCAAGAAGAACATTTGGAGAACCAACATCAGTTGCTGCTCGAACAAATATGTCTCCTAGTGAGTATAAACATATTTCACTATAAGTTTATAATAGAATTTGTTGGAGTTATTAGGCTTATCAACATTATTTTTCATTGTAGCTGAATGGTGGATCATGTATGGGACCCGATGCACCAACTGTGAGAAAGTTAGCAATAAAAGTATTATCACAAACAGCTTCCTCATCAGCTTGTGAAAGAAATTGGAGCACATTTTGCACTCATCCATACAAAGCAAAGAAATAAGTTGGCTCATAGTAGCTTGAAAAAATTAGTTTATTGCTACTACAACATGAAGCTTCAAATTCGAGATAAGGAAGCAGAAATCGATCATGTCGACCGTGGTGACCCACTAGATGTGTTTGATATTGTTGGTGAAGATGATGATACGGAGGGTAACCAACTTTTTCAATGGATTAGACATCTTCATTTAGATGATGATGAAGGCAACCCAGCTCCCAGAGTTGCTGAAGAAGCACGTAATGAAGGGATAAATGTAGAAAGAGTATTAGAGGAGGAGGTGGGATCTAGCAGCGCTGACTCTTTCGAAGAACTTTTGCACCCAAGGCCAAGCAACACTGGAATTCCACCTTTTTCCAATCCTACACAACCACAACATCGTGCTGATACTAATGATAGCTCTAGTACAAGATCAGGAGACTCACCTACCACCGGAGGTGGGAATGATGAAGGACATAGTGGAGCTGGAGGTAGTGGTGGTGGATATGGAAACTATTATGGACCATCACCTCCCGGATATATGAGCCCATTCACTGGTGAGGCAAACTTCACGCATGCAACACAAGATGATGACCATGGCAGTAGGCGGGCAGGACCAGGAATTGGTGCCATAGGGAAGGACTATACTCGCAGAGAAAGAGGCAAAGGGATTTTGTCAAGTCAAGAAGATGACTCGTTATCTAGAACTTCAGACTCTTTTGGATTGGGAAGTAGTAACTATGGTTATACTCATAACCAACCATTTCCCTACCCTTCATATCCCATTCCTGTTGGGATGGAATCGAGCGACTCATGGAATCAATCCCAGCCTCAATCTTTAAATGATTTTTCTTATGGACAACCTCAACCAATCTCGGATCCATATGGGTGGCATATTAACAATTACATGCAAAACTATTTTGGGGATTTATCATTTGATAACTACTCTTCACAATACACTCATTCTACACATAGAGATGATGAAGATAGTGACAAATTTTGAACCTCATAGGAACTCTATGTGGTACTAAAGTGTAAAATATTGTACTAATTCATTATATATAAATGATTATGGTGTGTTTAGACTTCTTTCATTAATTACTACATATTTTCTACACTCATAATGTTTGTTAGATCGCTATATAATCAACTTGATAATGTTAAATCCATCATGCAATGCATTTCCTTCCAATTTTTTGTGATAAACTAATAGATAATTGACTAAATAAACATCCTACAAAGTTTCAATACAAATTTCCAAGTTTTTCTTACAATTTCCGTGGTTTCCATGTAATTTTTATCGATATCGATATTTTACCGATATTTCCATCGATATTTCCGTGTTTTCGGACTACCGATATTTCCGATATCACCGATATTTTCTTCCTTGATCACAAATCAAAAATAAAATAATAACTATAAACAGGTGAATTAGTAACTGACGTAAAACGTCACACTAAAAATTTCTTATAACCACCAATTAAAAATGAATTAATGACTGTGTGAATCACTTCTTTTTTCTCTAGTGAGGGATAAAAACGTGGACGGCAGGATTCGAACCTGCGCGGGCAGAGCCCACATGATTTCTAGTCATGCCCGATAACCACTCCGGCACGTCCACCTTATTTGAAAGTGAAGGACCATTAACCATTATACTAACTTGTTTAGAATAATGATAATGGGAGTGAGAAAGAAACATTTACACACGTATAAAGATCATATTAAAGACCTATAAATACAACACTACTTTATAATTACCAAAATCGGCTATGAACCGTTGATTGACTTTGAAATCAATAACCCGACTATCAAAACGTATGTGTGAATCTTGAGAGATTCTACCCCGTCATCGGCAACGTACACTTAGTAGAGGCAGTATTAGGATAGGCTGACCCTTCAAGGGTGAGGTTGGACTACAAAATCCATTCAAGTTTTAGCTGATCTGTCATTGGATTCAATTAATGAAGCTCATGAAATAGTAGCCCGTCGTTGTGCGGTCCAATTGTAACAGAGGACATTGTTTAATAAAAAACGACACCAAATGTTGGAACCAAAACCGAAACCCGTTGCTTAAATTCAAAAGCATGTTAAAGCAATTCATTTTAGTGGCGATGAGATTTGTGCCAAACCATGGTTAGCAACTGGAGATCATTTGAGATGGCGGCGCCTCAGCTACGATCGAAATTCAGAAGAGTCGACTGCGATCACGAAAAGATGAAGATGGCGTTCCACCAAAGTTTATTAGAACTGACATGTATTCAATTAGTTCCGCTCAAGTCCATAAGCAACATTAATCATTAGCGATAATTGCGCACTTGTTATTTTTTGGGAGGTAACGACATATATAGTAACACACATATATTCTGGGAGGTGATGACTGCACCAGTATCCACACCTTGTGTTCATCACTTTTGCAAGTCGTGCTTAGAAGGTGCTTTTGTTGGCAAGAGTTTTGTGACAGAAAGAAGCAGAGGTGGACGGTCTCTCCGAGCCCGAAAGAATGTAATGAAATGCCCTGCCTGTCCGGGGGATATCTCTGATTTTCTGAAGAATCCTCAGGTTTGTAGTTACTCGCGCATTTTTCTTTTTGTTTCATGGGAAGATAACAATTATTCTTCCTTTCATTTTTTAACTGCTCGTAGGTAGAGTGTTCTTTTGATTTTTGTCTTTTATCTTATTAGAAACCAATGAAACATTACGTTATTGAAGTATAACTCCTTGACAATTTTTTTACTGTATGTTGTGGGATTAAACCTGGCAGGTGAATACAGAGATAAAGAATATGATCGAATCACTAAAAGCTCTGAATGAAGAGGAAGAGAAGGTAGATCCAACTGAGAAGTCAAGTGATGAAGGGGATGAGGATCCAACTGAGGAGTCAAGCGAAGAAGATGATTCTGACAATGAAGCTAGTGATCCTGTGTCTGACAAAACAGGAATGAATGGCAACGGGCAGACTTCAGGAACAAAGTCTCCTGCAAGGAGTCCCAAACTTGTCAAGGTTGATGCTGGTAATTACTCATCAAAGACTGATGATGATGGGTAGGCAAAGGAAATTTTTGGCGCCCAGACTGATGGTTCGAAGGGAGATCCTAAAGAAAGCAAATCTGATGCTCCTGTTGCAAAGCGTGGGAGGAAACCTGCCGGTCAGGGAGGTGCTGGAGCAAAGTCCGGGGGAAGAAAGAGGACTAAGGAGGAAGCCTCGGGTGATGAAGAAGGAAATGGTTCACCAGCAAATCCTCTGCAGGTGCAATCTGAAGAGGATCCAAAAGAGAGCAAAAAGCCAGCTGCAAAGCGTGGAAGGAAACCTGGCTGTCAGGGCAGTGCTGGAGGGAAGACCCGAGGAAGAAAGAAGGCTCAGGAGAAAGAAGCATTGGGCGACAAAGAAGGAAATGGTTCCCCATCAAGCCCCCAGCAGGTCCAATCGGTTCAGGATCCAAATGAGAAGAAAAAGCCAGCTGCAAAGCGTGGGAGGAAGCCTGCTGGTCAGGGGGGGTGCTGCAGCAAAGACCCGAGGAAGGAAGAAGGCTCATGAGGGAGAAGCAATGGATGTTGATGATGGAAATGTTTCACCAACAAGCCCTCTGCTTGTGAAAGCCGATGATTTGGAGTGATCGGTTGACTTGTGCTGCAAGAAATGTTGAACTTGGTGTTAGAGTAAATACAGAAATATAAAGAATAATCCGAATGATGACTTTGAGGTACGACTTGAATCGTTTCCTTAAAGTGTTATTTGCCCCCACTCGAATGAGTTTGCTAAAAGGTTCTTGGCAAATCACTTCCAGGATACAATAAAATATGAAATATTCGATTAGCAAAACCGAATTGTATTCCCTTAGAAATAACTAGAAAGAAATTGTATGAATGTGATGGAGAGAAAAGAGAGCAAGGAATGTAGAAACAAAATTATATAATTGTATAGACAATAAATTTCTGAATGAATTTCTTTTCTACCAATTTACCAATATATAGGAGAGATTGCACCCGTAAGACATATCCTTTGGTTTTGGATATGCCTACTCGGCATGGAATACATCCTTTGATTTTGGGTATGTCTTCTTGCCATGGATACAACTGAATTAATATACCCAATACGCATGTTTGATGCAAAGCATCAACTACCAAAGGTTATGTCTGTTAGTAAACTGTGAACTAGTCAGACATGTCTTTTTGCAAAGTTGGAAAAGTCACATTGCTTTAATCTGATGAAGAGTAACTGTTGGGCAAATACCCAACTTCTTCCACACGAATATATTAATATATTATTAAAATATTCAACACTTGGAAGGGTTATTTTGGTGCAGCAAACTTTTAATTCGGGAGTGCTCAAGTGTTTATACACAGGCTGCTTTACTTCAGTTTGCTTTGAATAAGTATGAACTTATATATATATATATATATACATCTAACATAAAAAATGGGTAGTGCTTGCCCATGGTGGTTTTTAATAGGGTTTAGGCTTTGTGTTTATTTAAAATAAGAAATGGGTAATGCTTGCCCATGCCCATGTCCATGCTGATGCTGGTTCTTCTGTGTAGTAAACTTTTATGGTTATCAAGTTCGTTTGTTATATCTCAAAGTCTCATTTATTTGCTTTGCTTCATTACATTTTTTTCATCTTATCTACATATTAATGAAATCATCTTTGTCACTCAAAAAGATGGTGAAAATACATTTTTGTACAAATGCCATCTCGACTTTTGTTAGTGTGCGTATTTACCACTTGAACTTTTATTTATTATTTATGTACTACTTGGACTTTGCATCATGTTGCAAAGTACCACCCGTTGTTAAAACTTCTGTTAGTTGATGATGTCGACAACATAGATCTTACATCTTGATTTGATTCTCGCTAAAAACGAATTTGAACCACATTATTACTAGTCCTTTGTGAGACTAAACCCACAACCTCCCTCTTAGTGTAAATGATATCGCTTATTCAAAAAAAAAAAAAATTAAAAAAATGCACACACAACAAAAAACAAATAAGAACTCTAGTAATGGTGGCATCTCTTGCTCCTTCCTCCCTGTGACTCCCCCACCAACTTCTAACCCCACACTCTTCAGCTCAACCACATCATCCCCCTTCTCGTACTGTCTCTGTCATTGGATCCAGATTTGTTGGAGATTTAGATGTCGTGGATCATATGCGACTTAATTAAATTTGTACGTGGCTCCACCAGAAATTTTTTGTTTCATATAGAGATAGTAGAAGAATGGGTTCATAGGGCGGAGGAGGTTGGTTGGCGTACGGGTTGCTAGTTGATGAATGGAAGATGTCATGGTTTTATATATATATATATATATATATATATATATATATATATATATTTTTTTTTTTTTTTTTATGTTAACTTATAATATTTTTAATTAAATCATATTTACCAAGTGGCCATGTTAGTAAAAAAAAATTGAGCCCTATGTTGCGCATGTTAATTAAAAAAAATTTCTATCGGTACGTGGTACATTGCAGTACAATACAAATTTCAGGTGGTCGAAACTGAAAACTAAGGGCACGTTTGTTTGACAGGATTAAGAGGGCTTGGACTGGACTAGACTATAGTCCGACGTTTGGTGTGCATCCGGATTAGCTTTAATGAGCTTAACCCGGACTCGCTTGGACTAAGTACCTCCTTAGCCGTTCTTTACGAGCAACCCCAAAATTGGGCGGATTTGTAAGCTAGAGCAAACCTAGAGATTTTCTGCGTCTTCCTTTCGTCCTGTCTTCCCTTCGTCCTCATCTCTACGTTCCCTCAACGTCGTCCTTGCCGTGCTCCCTCATCTTCGTCCTCCTCACCCTCATCTCTGCGTCTTCCGATCTCTGCATCTGCTCGCCCTTATCTGAGTTGTATGGTAAACTTCGATTCTTCTATTAATTTCATGTATTTGTGTTGCAGATGGTAATTTTACTGAGCTTTATTTGATTTTGTTGTTCTGGGTTTGATAATTTTTGAATCATAGAGATATGCACTTGAATAAATTAGGGTTTTGATATTTAGGTGAAATTGAAATTAGAATTTGGGCTTTTCATAAGATGAGATGGAACTTGGGAATTTAGGATGTCAAAGTTGTAAAACTTGGAAGTCCTACCCACATGTTGTTTTCGATTTTTAAAAATTGGGGTTTCAACAATGAGAGTACTCTGTGCGTGTGTGTGTCTGCGTGTGTGTGTGTGTCTGTGTGTGTGTGTGTGTCTGTGTGTGTAATTTATGTGTATGTCATTACCAAAAATCCTCGTCTCCAAGCATACTCTCTCCAAGCACCTCTTTCACTGTATGTTTCTATCTGCCAAATTAGGATGAATTGATGAGTTAGTGCAGAAGAGTTTCCTCTTCTCGATTTAGTGTTAAAGTCATGTCATTCACTAGAAGGCCTTTCACTGCCAAATTAGGTTAATCGAACATAACTGGGCATAGTTGTTTTGGTATGCTTTAGCTCATATCGAAACATTTGCGTTTCTTTAGCTTAACTTTTCTGGATGATGAGGTCAATTATTCTGTTTGCATATTCTAATGTCACTGAGCATGGATAACTTGATTGTGCATTTCTCTTTTCTCTTAAGTTTTTGTTTTCATTTTTTTAATTCTTGTTTCATTTTGTTTCTTTATAACTTTCTTGGTCCTGGGATATATGTTGATTGAGTACAATGAATGTCCAACGTTAGTTAGCTGTTCAGGTATTTGGCATATAGGTTGTGTTGTTCAAGAAATTTAACATTTAGCTATTGGCAGGAAAGATGGAACTTTTGGGTCTTACTATCCTCTGTGTGTGTGTGTGTTTGTGTACTATGTGTGTGTGTGTGTTTGTGTACTGTGTGTGTTTGTGTGTACTCATTAACGTGGGGGGGGGGTGTGTGTGTGTGTGTGTTTGTGTACTGTGTGTGTGTGTGTGTGTGTGTGTGTTTGTGTACTGTGTGTGTGTGTGTGTGTGTGTTTGTGTATTGTGTGTGTGTGTGTTTGTGTACTCTGTGTGTGTGTAATTTCTGTGTGTGTGTGTTTGTGTGTACTCATTAACGTGGGGGGGGGGTGTGTGTGTGTGTGTGTGTTTGTGTACTGTCTGTGGGTGTATAATTTATGTGTGTGTGTGTGTGTGTGTGTGTGTGTGTGTGTGTACTCATTACTGTGTGTGTGTGTTTGTGTACTCTGTGTGTGTGTGTAATTTCTGTGTGTGTGTATGTGTGTTTGTGTGTACTCATTAACGTGGGTGTGTGTGTGTGTGTGTGTGTGTGTGTTTTTGTGTGTTTGTGTACTCTGTGTGTGTGTGTGTAATTTCTGTGTGTGTGTGTGTGTGTGTACTCATTAACGTGGGGGGTGTGTGTGTGTGTGTGTTTGTGTACTTTGTGTGTGTGTGTGTAATTTCTGTGTGTGTGTGTGTACTGTGTGTGTGTGTGTGTGTACTCTGTGTGTGTGTGTAATTTCTGTGTGTGTGTGTGAACTCATTAACGTGGGGGGTGTGTGTGTGTGTGTGTGTGTTTGTGTACTGTGTGTGTGTGTACTCTGTGTGTGTGTGTGTAATTTCTGTGTGTGTGTGTATGTGTTTGTGTACTCATTAACGTGGGGTGTGTGTGTGTGTGTGTGTGTGTGTACTCATTACTGTGTGTGTGTGTTTGTGTACTGTGTGTGTGTGTGTGTGTGTGTGTGTGTGTGTGTGTGTGTGTTTGTGTGTACTCATTAACGTGGGGTGTGTGTGTGTGTGTTTGTGTACTGTGTGTGTGTGTACTCTGTGTGTGTGTGTGTGTGTGTAATTTCTCTATGTGTGTGTGTTTATGTGTACTCATTAACGTGGGGGGTGTGTGTGTGTACTCATTACTGTGTGTGTGTGTGTGTTTGTGTACTGTGTGTGTGTGTGTGTGTAATTTCTCTGTGTGTGTGTGTATGTGTGTACTCATTAACGTGAGGGGGGGCGAGAGAGGGTGAGGCAGGGAAGGGGGTAGGGTTGGTCTAGAATTTTTGTTCCAACTGGAAGTCCTCCTTGCAACAATCTCTCTGCTTTTCTCCTCATGTTGCGGTTGAGTTTCATTCAAAAGATTAGTGTCCGGTTTGAACTATTTTTGTCCTTACTTAATTGCTCATCTTTTGATCTTGAACTAGAATGGATGTTTTTTTTTGTGGTCTATGAGTTTAGTTGGTGTGTTTAGTTGAAGTGTTTCTATGTGTGTGTATCTTTAGTTGGTCTATGAGTGTGTGTGTGTGTGTGTATTCTGCACTGTAAGTGTGTGTGTGTGCTTTGTAAGTGTGTGTGTCTGCGTGTGTGTGTATTTAGTTTATAACCATGATATTACAATGTGAATGTTTTGTATGCTGAACTGCAATATTCTGTGGTTGTTGGTTGCAGAGAAGAGGAGCATAAACGGAAGGATAAGGCTAAGGCTACTGCATTACAGGTGTCCTTTAATTTCCCTCTTGACATGCAATGCCTAGCAATTGTGACTTGACTGGTTATTTTTTTTTGTTGATCCAACATTAATTGTGACTTGGTTGGTTATTTTTTGGGCTGTTAATGCAGTTACTTGTTTCAGAATTCTTTGTATACCGTTTATTTTGATCTAGTTCATTTCGTATCATAATCACTTCATTTCCATCACCCTTAATAACAGTAAATATTACATATATAATGTCCTTATTTAATTTTCCTTTTTTTTTTGTTTCGATAGATATGGATCGAAGGAAGCTTTTATTGATCTTATTGTTAGAGATGTCTCATTTAGAGACAATTTGCATTTGTATGATTCTTGTGTTGATGATGGTAAGGGCCAAACAGAGACATGTTGAACGACCCACTTTGACTAACCGTTCACTTGTTAGACGAGAGATTAGTTTGTGTTATCTGAATTGTATAATAGGGAATACTGATATTGAATGTGTCAACCAATTGAGAATGGATAGAAGGACTTTTGCCATATTATGTGACTTACTTCGTCAAGATGGGAGGGTAAAAACTGATGGTTTGGTGTCTGTAGAGGAGCAGGTGTGTATGACTTTACAAATACTAGCACATCATACTAAGAATCGTAGTGTTGGCGGTAGATTTTATAGGTCGGGAGAGACTATAAGTAGGTATTTCAATAGCGTATTGCAAGGAATTTTGCGATTACAAGGTATCCTACTAAAAGTCCCTCAGCCTGTGCCTATTGATTATACAGATCCTAGGTGGCGATGTTTTAAGGTATGATAATTTTTTTTCATTTTCCCTAAGCTTTAACTCTTCATTCCCTTTGTATAAATTAACAAAAGCTTAATTTTTTTTTTTTTTTAGAATTGCTTGGGAGCAATAGATGGAACACACATTGATGTGCATGTACATGAAATTGACAAACCAAGATACCGAACAAGAAGGGGTCGAGTCGCAACTAATGTGTTAGGTGTGTGTTCAGGAGATATGCAGTTCATATATGTGTTCCGGGGTGGGAGGGTTCCGCATCAGACTCTAGAGTGCTACATGATGCAATTACTAGGCCTAATGGTTTTAAGGTACCAACGGGTAAAAGTATTAGTTAGTCTCAACTTTGTAAGTTAGGTCTAGTTTTGTTTGTCAACTACAAAACACTAATAACGTTTTTTTTTATTAGGTTATTATTACCTTGTAGATGATGGTTATACAAATGGTGAAGGATTCCTTGCACCCTATAGAGGAATACCTTATCATTTATCTGAATGGGAGGGACGAACGCCTTCTAATAAGGAAGAGTATTTTAACATGAAGCATTCTAAGGCAAGGAATGTAATTGAACGCTGTTTTGGCTTGCTAAAAGGAAGGTGGTTGATACTAAGAAGTCCATCTTTCTATCCGATAAGGACACAAGGTCGAATAATTACCGCTTGTTACCTACTACACAATCTTATTAGGCAAGAGATGTCTGTAGATCCACTGGAAAATTTGCCAATAATACAAGATGGAAAAAATACAGAAGAAGGTGAATATGTTGGTAGTGTTGAAACATCTGACCAGTGGACTGTAAAGAGGAATGCCATGGCTCAGGAAATGTATAATGAGTGGAGAGCAATTAGGAACCAGCAACCGAACTAGCTATATGTGTTAATGATAACATTTTATTTTAGTATTTCTTTTTATCATGCATTTGTTGGATATTAGCATAATTATTAGATTGCTCATCAGTGAATGTTAAAACTTTTTTATTGATTGGATGGTATGCAAATTATTTGGATATTATGCAAATTGATTGGATATTATGCAAATTGATTATTTGTATTGTATTTTAGTACATTCAAATATTTTTTGTTTAGGTATGGATAAAGACAATATTTTGAATGCTACTCAAGAGCCAAAAGGAAGAAGGCGTAAATGGGAAGCATTTGAGGAAGAAGTATTACTATTCGTTCTTGAGGATTTTGTTGCTCGGAAGCAACGGTTTGACACCGGTTCTTTCAAACAAGGTACTTTGATTGAATAGCGAAAGCTGTCAATGTTTTATGTCCTTATTCCAATATAAAGGCAACTCCACATATTGAGTCAAAGTTGGAAGAAATGGAAAAAAACATATAGTATGGTCGTTGACATGATAAACACAAGTGGATTTGCACAGAATGATGTCAAAAAGTGCGTTGAAGTTGACAGTGATGACGCATGGCAAACTTATGTGCAGGTTCATATCCTATTTTATTTATACATTAGTTTTGTTCTTGCTGCTATATTTGTTACGCATGCTCAATTTTAGTTTTGCTATGTTGATATAATCTTAGAAAAATAAAGAAGCCGATGGATGGAGAAGCAAACATTTTCCACTGTATGATAGATTTGCATATATATTTGGAAAAGATCGGGCTACGGGTAATGTAGCCGAAACCCCTGCTGAAATGGTGGAGGAACAAAGTCATGATCAGGTTGGTGCAAGTGATATTGGAGGTGAAAATGTTGTTTCTTCAATGAACGAACAAAGCCAACAAAGCATTCCATCTGAAAATAGCCAACGAAAGAGGAAAAGAGGTGTGGGAAGTTCAAGTGATGAAACCGAGGCAATTATCAGTGGACTGAAAGAATTTTATGTTGAAAGTGGGAAGGATGCAAATGGTAACTGAAGCTTTAGTTCAAGGTACTGCAGATCATAGTAACATAGCTAACGAACTTGAAGAATGGGTCTTTCTCCTATGGATCAAATTGATGCATTGTCTCTTATTTTGGATAAACAAAAAAATGTGGGAGTGTTCAGGGCAATCAAACCGGAACTCAAGAAAGTGTTTGTCTAAAGGCTTTTAAGCGACAAAGCAAGCGGATGAGTATATTATGTGGTGCCTTTTGATATGGATGTATTTTATTAATCGTACAATCTTAGGTTATGACTTATAACTTAGCTTTCCACTATGAAGTATTTTGGCTAATGTTAACTAGGAGTTTGTAAATTATGGAGATCTACTTTTGAATGGTATACTATAGTTCACTGGTATTTTGTAAAATATCCTGGATGAAAGTTTAGTGAATGATGTTTTAAGAGTCAATCAATGGCAAAGATTGACTTGTCACAAGTATCTTCTTATGTACTTGCTCTTGCTTGTTAAGCTAGTCAGCTATGAATTATGCCACATGGAAAAAAGAGGCGGCCCTTATAGCCTGTTTAATTACCATGCTTTTCTTTCTTCTTTTCTTTTGAGCAAGGTTTGTTGGGTACACTTGGAGGATTCTTGAAACCAAAGTATTAGTACTCACGTTTCCCCTTCCTTCAAAACCCTACCACCATTGGATCCTAGTCATCTTCACCCAATAGAGAACCAGAACACCATATATCATGCACGTGAAGAACTTAAGTGACATTTTCCATGGCAATTTTACTTGCTTCAGACAAATATCTAATATGAGTTCCGTTTTCTTAAACTCTATAATCCAAGAAAACTATCATTAGTTAATGTTCGATTTTATTGCATAAAGTTTAGGATTACTCTATTACACAAGTATCTTCTCATGACATTTGTAGCATTACTTTATTACACAATGGCAAATATTTGTAGTCCTAGTGTAAGCAAACACAAATCTGATGAACAGTACTGTTTTTATTATCCTGCTTCTTAGTCCGACACTGCACCAAACGCTTCACTAAGTTAGTCCAGCTTAGTCGAGTCTAAGCCAGTCCAGCTTAGTCCCTGCAGCTAGTCCAGTCCAAGACCATCCGGCGCAACAAACGCCCCCTAAAAGTTCAGGTAATAAATGTGCACACCGACAAAAGCAAAAGTTCAGATAATATTTGTGCAAATCCCATTTTAGTATGACATTGAGTCATTGATCATGTTCCAACTGAGGCCCAACTCGGAAGTTTAGGCCCAATCCAGTTTTATGAAGCTCTGTAGTTGGCTTCTTTCCGAAGGCGTTCTGATCCGTAAAACCTCTCACCGCCCCTAAAACCCTAATACCCCTTTTTCTTCAATCGCATCCCAAACCCTGTCATCAAGAAGTTTTATCTGTAAGTCCTCTCCCTTTCTCCCTCTGTAATTTATTATGTATTTAAATCGATCAATTGTTTCCCTTTTTCTCACTAATTTTTCTGATATATGTATATTCCGATCAAACTTGATGTATGATGCCTGAACAAAAAAACTGCATGAAAATTTTGAACCAGAATTCTGACACCGATTAACAATGTGGAAAGATGGTTTTGGATTCATGGGTGTTTGGGTCTGTCAATTGGGTTTGTTGATGCACTCTGTAGTCTATACGAACGGATTTATCTCGTAAAGAAGTGGGATTTCGTCGTAAAAGGATGATATCATGTCCATTAATGCTACGATTGTTTAGTATTTCTGTATACATTATCTAATTGTCACGCGCTGAGCGGAACTTCGTTTATGCTGTGCTACTGCAGGTTTCTAAGATCCTGACGGGTTGCCCCGTTTCTATCTTTCTTGGTTTTGCTCGCTTCTTCTTCTTCTTCTTCGGTGATGGTATGTATTCTAGATAATGCTTGTCTCAGATTTATTAGTTTCTTTTTCTCTTCAGGCCAATCAGGCGCAACCGGATACATTCTTCACTCGTAAATTGTAAACAAGATTCTTTTGTTGACCCTTTATGAGACGGGTGCTAGTTTTGATTCGATTTTTCCTGCTGAACATGCTGTCTACTGAATATACATATAACACATCCAGCTGCCAAAAAATCTAATAATGTATCTATTAACGTTCCAAAGCTTCTGAATTAAATAATATCTTAATGAACTATAGCCCAAAAGTCCGCATGATTGAAGAAGAGGGGTTTCAACCAGCATTTAGAGGGAACTGAAACCTGCAATGATGCCTAAAGCGAATGTTATCTATAAGCCGCACTTCCTACCCGTTATAATCTCAATGTTATCTTAGAAGACAACCGAGATCCTAAAATTTGACAAGATATTCACTTTCTTCCTGCACCAATAGTGCAATCTTTCTCATGTAGTTAAGTTTTATTTTGTTCGTACAGGCTGCAAAAATTCTTGCCAATGTGCTTGTAATGGGCTCGGCAATAGTGGGCAGGGCTGTGCTCCGTGCATACCGTCAGGCAATCTCAAGTATGCTCTCTTGCAATCCCAAATCTAGCGCTAAAACCTTTTGGGTATTTTATCTTTAACTCTAAAAAGGCACTAGTGTACTTCGTGTTCAGGGTTCTTGCATCTTTGTAAATCACAAGTGTATGTTCTATCTGTATTTGAAGATAAATTTCTTTATGTTATCACTGAATGCAGATGCCTCAAAGAACGGTGTTGCTAACGAAGCAGTAAACAATATTAGAAGAGCTAGCAAAATAATGGCTGAACCAGAGGCGAGGCAGGTTCTAGGTGTCACGGAGCATGCATCATGGGAGGAGATCTTGCAGGTTTGCTCTATTCATTTTCTCTGTTGTTTTCCCTGCATGTAAATGTCAGCGTCGAATCTTCTGAGAGGTGTTAATCATTTCATCATCGAAACAATTTCTTTATGAAGAGGTATGACAACTTGTTCGAGCGGAATGCCAAAAACGGAAGCTTTTATCTTCAGTCAAAGGTCCATAGAGCTAAAGAAGTCTTAGAAGGTGCTTATGCAAAAAGGGCTCAGGGAACTCCTGATGCGTAACTTGTAGGCTCACAATATTTTTTCGCTTCGGTTACATTATTCTCGGCATTTAATGTTAGGGCTGCTGCAGTATTCTTTTGATCTCCACACGGTATGAAAAATTGGCGGTTACCAAATGTTCCTCTGCTTATTTCGGTCTTATTCTATGTGATGCTACTGTATTCCTGTTGTATATGCTATTAAACCTCTGGTTACACCGCCTAAATATAATGTTTCAATGTCATCAGAATCCCTTGTTTCATGATTTTTACGTGCCCCGATTGTTTTCGTTCGAGTATACGAAGTTTGCCAATTCCTAACTCTACCAATTAGTGTATTACGTTATGAAAAATCCACTGAAGCAATAACATTTTGTATGTTCTCAACTGTTTATGTGCAACAATTAGCCTGGCGGAAGAGAAAGGCAGAGTAAACAAGTTGATATTGTGGCCCAAAATCCGGTCTGGTTTGACACCAACTTGAAGTTGCACTGAATCTGACCCAGCTTCATACCAAGTTCGATACCAGCCCAGCCCATTAGTGACACTACCTCATTTTTGTTAAAACATGAGAATTATAAATATGTGTACTGAGCAGCTTGGTCATAGCATCCCTAAACAGCTAAGAGTAAGAGTCGAAAAGAGGATTATTCATTTCGTTTTTTCATTCAAAATCGTGCGTGAGTCTTTTATCTAAAAAGGCTACTTAGTGATAAAAGAAATGAGAACTCATCTTCCTTCTTATTTTGATTACCTTTCATGGGCATGCATAAGATCAATTCATTGGTTGCTACTTGGTATCGGCAATAGGTTTGAAAAAATATCTAAAATATCAAATTTAAATATTTGTACCCTCTCAAAGTAAGAAATCATGGCAGATTAGAGTAAGAAATGATTCTCATATTCCCTTTTTATTCTTCTTCACATATTTTTCTTTTGATTTTGGTTCCTGTGTGATGTAAGAAGGTAATTTCTACACATCTATTTTTACTTCATACACGCTCTTTTGTAATTACTTTAAGTTTTTTATTTGTTCAATCAATTAAAAGAGTGCAGAAATCTTTTCTCTTAATTAATTAAATTTCAAAGCTAAAATTCAAATTGTATTAACCTTTACATGAGTGAAATGAAAGAAAAAGTAAATGTGAAAGCGAAAGGTTTGAAGTTTGGAGCCGACAAAACAAGTTGAGTCGGCTATGAAACGAACACAGACAGAAGCAGTAGACGAAGAAGTCAAACAGTTGATCCATATTTGGCAGTTGGCGTGGCGACTGGAACTCAAGTCAACGCCAGCCGATATCTTTTTCTTTTGGCTCCAAACAAAATTGCCACCCACTCACCAGTCATCTCACCACTCATACGAGGAGTGGAAAATTTGCTCATTTCGTCCTCTTTTCTTTTGTTTTTTTATTTCAATGACTTCGAGTACAACTTGCCTCTATATTTTTTAAATGCAAAACTACTATTCTAATGCTTGACATTTGTTAGAAGCATAATTTGGAGTTCTAATTCTTAATATTTCAATTTGATAAAATGCGGATTAATGACCTTTGAAGCTAATTCTATGAGAATTTTCTTCAAAATTAAATATGTAACACACACATATTTAAAAAACAGCACAAATGCAGTTCCTGATTATTTATTAAAAGAAGATTACGTGCGTTTCATGCGCATAATTTTTTGACGGAAATTCTTAATAAGGTGGGTTATATCTAATAAGACTTGCTCCAAGTTTTGAAATCAATGTGCAAGGAATATTAATGCACACCCAATATTTAATTAGGAATTTTTTATAGATGATGTTTTGGACATGGCATATACCATCATTGGAGGTATTCGGTAATGGCGCTTCTTGCCTAAGATATGAATCCATCTGTTCATGTTGAACACTGACCAAAAAAGAAAATCGAGAAAAATATTAGTGAAACACAAAGATGATATAAAACTATACTTTAGATAATATTTAATAGGAGAAACATGATATGAATCCAATTTTGTGAGTCATTTTTGAGACGAGTCCAATTATATTCCATGTCAGTTTTTTTTTTTTTTCATTTTCATACCAATTTACTCCTAAAATTACTTATAAGTAATCAATATTATCCCTTGATTTTAGGATTAGTATTTGTGATAAGTTTTACTTATTTGAGGTTTAAAGAATAAAATTCCCTTAGTGATAGGATAATTGTTGGAATAAAATTACTTCCTATATATCTCCAAGGGAGGATATGTCTCTTCATTTCTTCTTCATTTATCTATTCTTTATTTTTAGTTTGTTATCTAAAACCTTTTTCTTAGTTAGGATTTATCATTTGCCTTGCGAATCTTCTTCTTCTTTATCATTGTTTAGTTTTCCTATTCTCTTCTTAGACTTCCACTATATATGAAATTTGATTCTGTTTGATCAAAGAATGGAGGTTGGTTGGCTTCTTTCATCAAATTGCTTGTTGTGTTCAAATTAGTTAATTTTGTGGTCAAAGTTGGATCTTCATTTGAGTTGTATTTTTACTCAAATTAATTGATTTCATGGCCGATATTAATCTACATGTATCACAAGATTTTGTTATATAACCTACCTCTATTATAGGCAGATTATATTTTTTCTATTTTTATTATCTATCTCTATCTCAAATTGCTTCTATATGTTTTCCTATATTACATAGTAATTTATCTTGCTTATAGGTAGGTAAATTGTGTATTTATACCTTTTAGTTCGTTTATCTACCTATTGAGTATATATATTTTCTTCGTTTGATATCTTACTTATAGGTATATGTACATTTATGTATTAGTACCTTTTAATTAGGTTGTATATTTTTGCAACTTAATCTATTATAAAAATATTTTATTTTATTAAAAGGTAAAGAATTGAAACGTTATTTTTTTAAATGTTTAGTAGATTGCAGATGTTTAAATATTCAAAATTTGAAAACAAAGGGTAAATAGGTTTAAAAAAATAGTTAAGCGGACCTAAATCAGAAATTTCAAAAAATTGGACTAAAGCCAATAGTACGTCAATTTTTTGGACCTATATCTTAATGCCCCTATTTAATATGACACAACAACTCTCCTAAGGTTTTCATTTTAAGAATCTATGAGGTACTTTTTCATAAGAGCCTTAGATTAAATAATTTTTGTTATTCATAGATAAAATACTAATTGATAGAACAAGTAAACAAAATAAACAAGAAGAGAAGAAGGTTTCATGTCATGTTGAATCTCTTTCATTTGCAAAACCTAGTTTCCTCATGCAATATCTAAACTCAGCAAATCCAATTGCATGAAACCCTAACAACTTTACACATCCAATCTTTTATTTAAGTTGATAGCTTAATCTACAATAAGATTAATTTGATGGCTCATATAAACAAGGACCTTATAAGTCCTTAAAGTGAGGAACTTAGTAGAGTAGTTCTATTAATATGATATAGGAACTGAACGTCTTATGTCACAACCCGGGCCGGGCCCCCACCACATCCTGGGCTCGACTCCATCGTAGCACGATATTGTCCGCTTTGGGCCCTGACCACACCCTCATGGTTTTGTTTCTGGGAACTCACACGAGAACTTCCCAGTGGGTCACTTATCCTGAGATTGCTCTCACGCGAACTCGCTTAACTTTGGAGTTCCTACGGAACCTGAAGCCAGTGAGCTCCCAAAAGGCCTCGTGCAAGGTAGAGATGTGAATATACATATAAGGCTTACATGATCTTCACCCCTAGGCGATGTGGGATCTTACAATCCCCCGACCTGGGAAGGTTGAAGCATGCTGGCCATCACCGTGAGGTGACGTAACCATAAGGGTAAGTGATGTAAAAAATGAGTAAATTTAAAACTAATTAGAACTAATTATACTAAATAGTGAAATAGTGCGTAATCGTGGGAAGAACCTATTATAATTATTCAGAGCGTAATAGACAGTGAGACAACATAAGAGTAGTCAAAGTAACTAAAGTACACTTATTACATAACAGTAATAAGTTCGTACATCTAAACAGAAGAGAATGTCAGAACTGCCGAGATTCCTCGAGTGCCACAAAGAGTACAACTATCTAGGTCGTGGAGGGGCGAAAAACAAAGTTGAGTGGGTCAGCAAAACAATGCTTATACGAAATTCTTTATTTTCGAATATATTAACCCCTCGCCGTAAAACAAGTATAGTTTCCTTAAAACTTACTACGTAGGTATGTAAACGATAAATCAACAATATTATAACGGTATTATAACCAGAATATGCCAAGTCATGATGTATCAAATGCCACAATAATATAATCATGTGACAATCAAGTATAGCTAAGTGCTCATCCATCTAAGCTGACACACGAATTCGAACAGATAATTTCTGACACGAACAAGACTGGGTGTAATCAATATGCTCTAGTACTACGATCATGTGAAGGTTGGTGCAGAAGCACGGTCATATACAAGTCGGATTACCTAGTGCAATCTACCCGACAGGACTGTCACCTAACCTGGATCCAAGAAAGCGAACGGTGCGATGTGAACATACACGTGAAGGACTGGCCCTGGCCCTGGGTCGAGTACTAACACACCAGTGTAGCAAGATGAGCATGTACAAATATATATATGAATGTCATGACAGTAATATCCCAACCATATAGTAGCATTTATCACAATTAATATCACAAGAACGATACTTGGCAAAATAAACGTAAAAGTGAAGTAAATACGCATTTATGGAAACTATAAATATGTATAGGTATAAAAACAAACTGCCCACTCACAAGTACGTCGCTGGGTCGTAGCCCCCGAACCTAGCTTAGCCTCGAACGTCCTCGGGATACGTTTCCCCTATATGTGAAATAACTAATTTCACATTAATTAAAGCACATATATGTAAATCTAAATAAAACCCCCATAATTTGCTTAAACCTAGGGTTTAAATATACCATCATAACCTACTCGACGTCACAAACATCCCCAAAATTTTAAAATAATTTTTGGATGGTTCATGCGCCTCCATGCGCCATCAAGGGCACGGCCAGACGTGCCCCCACACGCAGGCCAGTGCCGTCAGTTAGCCTGACGCCGTTAGGAATATTTCACGGAATATTCCGTTAAACGCTAACAAAAATTAACGGCGTTACCTGACGCCATCAGAATATTACGTCACTTTGAGAGAATATTCTGTCTCCTTCTCCGGTGAGCCTCGCCATCGCCGCCGTCTGCAACTCAACTTTTCTGGAAAAATTTCAAATGCACTATTCTCGATCATTTCTCAACCATTTTTGACGTACTTTATATG